AATCTAAATGGATCAAAGATCTAAATATTAAAACAGAAACACTAAATCTGTTGGAAGACAAATTAGATAAAAATCTTGAAGACATAGGGGTAGGTAGAGAATTCATGAACAAAACTCAAACCACATGGGAAATATTTCCCAGAATCAATAGCTGGGATCATGTCTTACTAAAAAGTTTCTGCATGTCAAAAGAAATCTCCAGCATAGTGAAAAGAAAACCCACAAACTGGGAAAAAAATCTTAGTGGACTGTCCCTTAGACAAAGGACTTCTGTCTAGAACATATAAAGAATTTTAAAAAATCGGATCCCTGAAATTCAAGAACCCAATCCAGAAATGGGCATCTGAGATGAATACACAGTTCTCAGATGAAGAAATACAAATGGCAAATAAATACATGAAAAAATGTTCATCATCATTAGTCACAGAAAAATGCAAATTAAGACAACTCTCAGATTCAATCTCACTCCTGAAAGAATGGCCAGGATCAAGAAAACAACAAACAAATGCTGGAGAGGCTGTGGGGAAAGAGGAACTCTCCTGTAGTGTTGGTGGGAGTGCAGACTAGTGCAGCCATTGTGCAGGTAAATCTGGAGATTCCTCAAAAAGCTGGGATTGGAAGTCCCATTTGACCCAGCTATCCCACTTCTAGGCATATTCCCAGAAGAAATCATACTACAGTGATATATGTGCACCCATGTTTATAGCAGCTCAATTTGTAATAGCCAGATCTTGGAAACATCCTAAGTGTTCATTTGAACTTCTACCAAATTTTTATTTATATCTCTTCTTTATATTTTGCTTGCTCTCTATCTCTCTCCATAGATACAGATATAGATGATATAGATGATATAGTTTTCTCACAGAAGAGAAACAAGGGGATATTTAAGCCTCTATGTCTGATTTATTTCACTTAACACCATTTTAATAAATTGCATCCATTTACTTAGGAAGTCACTTACTTGTGTTTATTTTGACCTGTATTTGGTGCAAGTTTTCCCATTCTTCTTACACAAACTTTCCGTATTCTTATCTTTTAGATGTACCTTATAAGGACAGGCTAAAAGCTTGCTGTTTGTCTTTCATTTTCTGATTTATTTCTTTGGTGTAGTGTACAGATATTTATCAAAGTGCATTTATTTTATCTCTCATTAAAGTCCTTTATGGTTAATAAGTGATTACTTTAGAGTTTCAATAATTGTGATAGCTTTTTATCTTATCACTGTGATTCCAGATTGTGTTTTAGGCATACTTAGAAATTATTTTACGAGTATTACTAAATCAAAATTATTCTTATAAAGTGCAGATATTGTTTTTTACAGTAATATTCTCAGAGTCACCGAAACAGTTTCCAGTTCTAGAAACAAATGAAATGTGATATGAGAAGAAAATCAGTACAGAAACATATTTTTAAAGTCATTTGACTTCTTAATTCAAGTTGTGGTATATTTGGTTTATTTTCTTCTCTTTTGCAAAGAAATTGCTTTGGAGATTGCCATTTTTAATTAAAGTATAACAGAGATTTCAAACATAGCTAACTTTGTATATTATCTTAAGATAATATCTTAATTCACCAAAATTATCTATTTTATTTTTGGTTTTTGTTATATTGTGATTAATAATAAATCAGTGCCATATTTTGAGGCATTATTGTCCGTTTTCTACTGCACTCTTAACATTCCTTGAAGCATCCATTATGCTTAGTTCCTCATTTATGATTTTGTCATTCTAATTCTACACATAAAATTCTGAATTTTATCCTAAAAGATAACTGCTGTGTGTAGAATTCTAGGGTAAATGTCATTCTGTGTCTACGTGTTGAGGTATATATTCTATGATATTTTAATTTTTTGAGAAATGAATTATCAATCTAATTGTTTCTCTAAGGGTTATATTTTTCAACATGGTCTTGTGTTCTTTGATTTTCTGAAGCTTCATAAGCTACCCAGGTATTAGGAGTTTCAGAAAATTCTTACCCATTGTCTCTTTAATTACATCTTCTGTAATTTTCGTTCCACTTAGGATTCCAAAGGACTATTTCATCCAGGACTGAGGATTGTTCCCAAGGTCCATACCTTGAGCTACATATGCAGCCCCCCAAACTCTTTTGAAAAAATTATTTTAAGATATAATTTTTCTAAGTGGTTAAGTAGCCCAGAGTGGGCTTGAACTTGTGATGTTTCTGCTTCAGCCGGCCAAACTTGTCTTGCTTGTCAGTATTCTAAATATTTTTGCTGAGTCAGCATTTAACTTTTTTTTTTTCTTTTCTAATTTGTTAACTCCATCTATAGGAGTTCTCTGAAGTAGTTTTTCAGCTTTTATGGTAGCTCTTTTCCTATAGCAACCATGCTTAAATTTAATAGATGTGTGAGAATATCCCATTTAGAATGCCTGAATGTAGAATTCTTCATCGAAATACAAATTTCAAAATATATAATAGCAATTTGCTTTTTGTTCTTCATGTTTTTCTTTTAATGTAATTGATCACTGAAGTCCTTATAAATAGCTTCATTAAGGATCAAATTTCAAAGCATATATTAGCAATTGCAGATATTTGAAAATGTGCTATATAATTTAAAAACCCCTTGATTTTTATATTATTTGGGATTTTTTGGTCTTCTAGGAAACTTTTTATGAAAATAGGTTGAGACACAGGATATTAATATCAACTCAAAAGGATTTGGTTTTACAGTGTTTAGTTAGGAGCTAGGAAAACTGTGATTTAGAATCATTAGAGACTGGTTCCAGATTGGAATTTTCTGCACTACCTGATCAGCTAAAATCTAGGTCCCACACTTTGCAAGACCTTAATGATTACTGCCTCGATATTATATTTAGTATGCTACACATAGGATCTTCAAGTAATCGTGTTTAATGGGCCTCCAAACTTGGAGGACTTTCAAATTTACTTTTCTGATTGAGAAGCTCACCCAAACAGCTCCATCCTTCATGGAGCATTTCTGTGTAGAAAGTGCTTGTATTGCAAGACTTGGTACCCAGTGTTTAGATTCAAGATAAATCTTTGTCAGTTGTGTGTTGTGCATGACACATGCCAGATGCTTATAATCTCAAAACTCTGAGAGGCTGAGGCAGGATGACCACAAATATGTGATCAACCTGGGAGGTCTAGTGACTTAGTAAGACTCTACTTCATAAGTAAAAAAACAAACCAAACCAGAAAAAAGTTTCTGTGTGTGTGTGTGTGCACGCGGGTGCATATTTGCGTGTGTTTCATGGGGAAACCTGGGGATGCAGCTCAGTGTGTTTCAATTTCCAGTACCACGTAAGCAAACAAGAACATTAGTCTTTGTTAATTTCATGTGGCTATGTCATTTTTGTGTACTCTTTAACCCTTTATAAAATATCTACCAGGTTTCCAAGATAATTTTGTTTGTAGGTTGTCTGAATTACTCAATATACAAGTACCAGAAGTAATAACTGATCATATCTTTGATTATATTCAATTATTTGTAAACATTACAAACATATACTTACATATTTAATTAAGCCAGTTTTTAAATGAAATGCTTGAATAGAAAGTTTGCTCTCCTAAAACTAGTATGCATTTTAATCAAATATAATTGGCCATCTAAGCAACGAAAGACAATTAACTATTGTCATTGGTTCTTACATATTATACTGTTATTATTCACTGAAGACACTATGAATAGCTTCATTAAGGATCAAATTTCAAAGTATAAATTAGCAACCTCAGACATTAGAAAATACACTATGTAATTTAAAAAGCACGAGACTTTGGCTTAAATTCCAATCCCAACGTGTATCAAGTTTGATTCATTCATTAAACTATTTGGTTTAAGTCATTATTCTTTAAATTGTTAAATGAATGACTATTTCTTAGGCGCTTATTTTAATCCAAAAAGATAATGAAATGATAAGCAATTCAATTATTTTAGAGAGAAAATATACCTGAAAGAAGATAAAATCTGTAAAGAAAAAACTTTATTTCAAATTCTTGTATTGTTATTAGTCAGCTGTCATCAGAATAATAATGCCTGCTGCACTACCCTAAAAGTGAGTGGATTTATTTTCTCTGCAGGTGAAGTGATTGCCTGGCAGTTGTTTCCAAATGGTAGAGAGTCTGATGTGCTGCACTTCATTGCACATTTGGTTTGCACCTTTATTGTAAAGGCAGAAACACAAGACACTAAGTCCACATGGACTTTTGTCATGTGCTTTACACACAATTGGTCATACCAACTGTGATAGCAAAAGAGTAAAAGCATAGGAGGAAGAAAGAAGTGTCCAACTGATGAAGCCAATGTCGAGTGATAGGACACTGAACCCCTTTCCCAGGGGCCTGGAGATTTAGCTCAGTGGCATAAGTGCCTGCCTTTCAAGCAGGCAGTTGTGAGTCCGATCCCTGGTACCGATAAAAAGGAAAAAGGCCAAAAAAAAAAAAAAAAGAAAGAAAAGAAAACCTTTCCCCACATGTTATTGTGATAGTCAAATTATGGAAAGAGCAGTTGCCATTTCCCTTTGATACCTAAAATCATTAACATGCTTTGTGCTTTTTCTGGGATCAGTGGTTATAAAGAGGATGTTTATTATGCTGCCTTCTTAAGGCCAGGGAAGATCTGGGGTCTTGTTCCATTAATATTTTGACAAGATGTCTCTTTCATTTGTCTCCTATGCATACCTATATCTTTTCTACTGAAAACACATTTCTATATACTAAAATGACAGTAATTAGGAAAATAATTATTCTTTTGATTCTATCAGAAATATATGTTTTATAATAAGAAGTGGACAAAATAAACTCATGTCAGACTGAATGCATAAAGACTTGATAAATATGAAGAAAAACGTGCTTTGAGCTCTGCAAGAACCTCAGTTTTTGAAAGTAAATGTGGTTCAGTGTAGTTTTGAATACATTTATTTGGTAGTATTTTGAGATTATAATGCACCAAGATATGCAAATTAAACATACGATCCCTAAAATAAGATTTTTGACAATTGATTCTGCTTATTTCTTTCCAGATCGTGTACATGGGCTGGTGTGAAGTGCGGGAGCAGGACTCCCTTCAAGATCGACTCTACTCTCCAACGTTTCTAGCCCTGAGGGGCTCGAGTCTTTACAAATTTCTGGCACCTCCAGTGAGTGTTTTTGTCCAAACATACTGGTTTTTCCAATTTTGCCACAACAGATGAATATCAACTAAGTTAAATATCAAATAACATATTGCCAATATATTTTTGATAATTATGTAGAGAAAAGGAAAACAGCCCAGCTATTTCCAAAATATCTTATTAAGCATATGTGTTCTTACATTAATCATTTACTTTATGTTTAGGAAATGAAAATTTTGGAAAGCATTTCTGCCTAAATCATGACCCTGAAAAGCAATGGATCAAATAATACTGTTGTTAAAAATCCCACAAAGCCACTGGCAAGATTTTAAAAAACATGCTCAAACTATGTCACCTTATCTTATTAATTGAATAAAAATTAAACAGTTATATAAATAAATGAATATGGGTGAGTCAAATGATTTTAAAAATTCTTTAGATGTAATGAATTAGGTTATTAATTTTATATTCTCAGTAAAACTTTTTAAAGCTGTTTTGTCACCTTTAAGTACTAGCAGTGTTTCAACTTATATTTAATTTATTCTTAGCAAGTAATGAGTATAACTTATAATAATCACATTTCCCCAGTTATTACTCAATCTATCATAATTTAGTCAAATGTTTCTGTCGTGTTAAATGTTTAAATTACCAGACCTTATCCTTGGCAAAAATCAGAAATACTGTCTGTGAGTTATCACTTGTGACTGCCACAGTATGTGGGTCAGTGTTGTGCCTACCTCAGTAAATTACATCAGTAATATCGTTGGTAATCTGCTATATTCTATATTATAGTCTCTGGTATTTGCACTAAGTAAATGTGGATATTTTTTATATACAAAGTCTAGTTTTCAGAACATTGACCTTTCAGAACAATAGACTCAATAAATGTTAGTTAAATGTGAACACTAGATGCCAAACCTTTCAGCAACAGGCCTAATAGTACAGGGAATCTAAGACTGTAAATCTGGGTGGGGATTTAGCTCAGCAGTGTAAGTGCCTGCCTGGCAAGCATGAGGTCATGAGTTTGATCCCATGCACAAGAAAAAAAAAAGTCTGACTGCTTTTTGAATACCTATGTCTACTCAAATTGTACAACACAAGACAGGAAAGAAAAGAAAAACAACTTTAATATTTATATATTTCACTATGCTCTTACATTCATCCTTTGAATAATTTCTTGATTGGGCTAATATATCAAACATAAATATAAGACCAACGTGTTGATAGTGTAGAGGCCTTCATATCAGGCATCTTGGAGTGATTTCTCAGCAGAAATTATATGTTTTAAAACATTGAAGCCAGTATTGACATCTGATGTTTCTTCTGTGCTTGATGGCAAATCAAGAAAATCATTTATGTATAATATAAATACCTACTTTATATGTAGAAGAAATACATATTATAGAAGCCACACAAAAATTTGAGGCAAATTGAAATTTTCACAAATACTATAAGACACTTGCTAAAAATAGGTCAATGATAAAGCCTGGAATACAAAAAAATCAACACGATATCCAGGGATCTTTATTAGAATAACTTCATTAGTTAGGGACAAAGCAGATATATTGTGTAAGTTTCATTTAGATTGTGCAGTATATCATACAAATGAAATAAGAGGAAGTAGGAACCATCATTCTAAAGCTAATAAAATATTATTTTCTCATCTTTTAAAGGTGACCACATGGGACTGGACCCGAGCAGAGAAAACATTCTCAGTTTATGAGATTATGTGCAAGATTCTCAAGGTATGATCATAAAGAATTTTTAAAATGAAGGAAAATAACATTTCCTCAGAAAACAAAAGTTATGTGCTCATAACTCCCTCATAAAAAATAAACTAGAGATTTAAAAGAAAAGACAGTATAAAAATACAGTACAAGAAAATATAGAAAAATGGGAAGATGTTTTGCTAGAAGCTTCAGTAACAAACATTTGCTGAAATTCATCAGTCAGGGAGTAAACAGAGGATCTAGTTGGAAGGATCAGAGAGGGAGTCAAAAATTCAACTAAAAATGGTCTGAATTTAAGCCTTTATTTTTATCATTTTAATTTTCCTGAGTAAAATACCAAGGGAAAAAATGTGGATAAGTCCTGGAATTAGGACAGATAGGTGAATGGTTAGATAGTCACAGAGACAGACAGATAAAAATAAGTTTGTAAAGGTACATTTACTTGTTTTTATTCTGCGACTTGGCCATATCTCTGAGTATATAAATTATCATAAATCAATTATATTACCTTGTGACACATACGATTGTTACAGTAACAAGTCATCAAGAGTTCTACAAAATTCTAAATGATGTCTGAAGGCTTTTTCAATAGTTAAGATGGGTATGCGTGGTTCATTTTTAAAACAAATTTTATTGTGTGTATTTAGGAATATAACATGATGTTATGAGAAACACATTTATTGTGGGTGGCAAATTAACAAGTCCACCCCTTGCATAGTTTCAGTTTATTTTGGTTTGTGTAGTAAGATCAGCTAAAATGTTTCCTTTAGCAAGAATTTCCCATACAGTACACAGTTATTACCTGGCATCCTCACACTCTACAATACATCTGTTTGTTGTCTTTTCACGTTTTACATAAAAGTGAATCAGGTACTATTGTTGTGTTAGTGCCTGGATTATTTCACTTATTTACGTTGTAAGACATGGTTAACATACTGTTCCCGAGACTTGCTCATGCTGTGCCCAGTGGCACGACCTCACTGCTTGAGCACTGAATCATGTTGCACGTGTATAAGTAACACAGTTTCTCTATAAGTTTTCTGTCAATTAGAATGTTTGCATAGGTTGGCTATTGTGAGTGATGCCACAGTGTCCGTGAATGTGCAGATGTCTTTGTTAAATAGTGACTGCATTTCCTTTAGGTATATGTCCAGAATAGGGCACCTGGTTCATATGATACTATTTTTAGTTTTTTTTAGAAATAATCGTACTGCCTTACATAGCATCTATACTCATTTAAGTGACTCCTAACTAGGTACATGCGTTCCTTGTTGGTTCATTCCTCATCAACATTTTTTCTTTCAGTTTTTTCTATTGGTCTGTACTTCTGTTTGATGCTGCTATATACTATTCTGAGATAAAATCTTAGGTGTGAGATAAAATCTTACATGGATTTGGGTATGCGTTTCTCTAATAACAAATTTGATCATTATTTGGTATGCCTATTGGCCATGTGTATGCCTTCCTTGAAGAAGTGTCTATTCATATACTTTTTCCCATTTTTCAACTTACATTTTAATGCAAATATAAGATTTATACATCTTAATGAAGTATATTGCATAAATTCAGCACATGTATGCAATGTATAATGATCAAATTAAGGTAACAATATTTTCCATCTATTCCAACATTAATCTTTTTGTGTTGGGAATTTTCTCGTTATTTTGAAATACATCATAGTTGTGTTAACCAGAAATTACCTTACTGTGCTGCAGACACACCAGAACTGATTCCTCCTTCCTCACTGTGCTTTGGGGATGCCTTTTTAAATTTGTCTTATCCTTCCTTTCCCGTGCTCTTCCCAATTTCCAGACAACAGGATTCTATTCCAGTCTTCAGGAAGGTCAACTTAAAACACACACACACACACACACACACACACACACACACACACACACACAAAAAAAAAAAAAAAAAAAAAAAAAAAAAAAAAAAGAATAAAAACGGTACAGAATTTCAAAGTATAGGAAATTAACACTACTTACTATATCAAGTATCATTTTAAAAGTAGTTATTGAGAGAAGATTCAGGCATGGAAAAATCATCAAATATTGAAAGTACAAACTGTTGTTTTTGATGAACTAAATAGTTACCTGCTTTTTAGTTTCTACAAATGTGAGAAGATGTGTTACTTGGCTTTCCGTGTCTGGTTTACTTCACTTAACCTAGTAACCTTTAGTTTCATACATTGTTTGCCCATTTTTAATTGCACTGGTTTTCTACTGATTTCTTTGCCTTCCTTTTAATTTTTTTGTTACCCATTTCTAAGATTCATGGGATTGAAATGTTTGCTCCCAATTCATAAGCTGCTTTCTTATTTTTTTATTGTCTCATTTGCTATGCAGAAGTATTTTACTTTTATGAAGGCTCATGCACTTATTTTGGCTTTGTGGCCTGAGATTTTGAAATAGTACCAGAAAAAAATCAGCCAGGGAATGTTCTTTTTCCCATATCTCTCTCAGGAGTTTTAGAGGTTTTTTTCCACACATTTTGTTCTTTAGTCCATTGTTGTGATCTTTTTGTATGGTATCAGTAAACACACAATTTTTCTCTTTTTGCATACAGACATTCAAGTTTTATTGTACCAATTACTGAAGAGATAATCCCTTCTTCATTGCATCCTCTTACTGTCCTTGTCAAAAGTTCTTTTACTGTGCACATTTTCTGTACTCTCTATTCCATTGGTCTGCACTTCTGTTCTGATGCTACTGCATACTATTTTGATGATGATAGCTTTTCAATATAGTTTTAAAATGGGCAGTACAGTATACTTCTTATAACTTTCTTTTTTCCTCATCAAAATGAGCTACTTATATGGAGTTTTACTTTCATTGTCAATTTTAAGGTTATGTTTCCTGCATTATGAAGAATGACATTTAAATTTTTTTGTGTGTCATTTTTTCTTTTATCGGTACCGGGGATCGAACTCACAACCACACACTTGCAAGGCAGACACTAATGCCTCTAAGCTAAATCTCCAGTCCCATGCCATTTAAATTTGATAAGGGTTGCATTGTGTCTGTATATTGCCTTGGTATTTTTTATAATATAAAATTTTCTGATGCATATCTCTAAGATATCTTCCCATTTATACATGTCTTCAGTTCTTTTCATCACATTTTGCAGTTTTTACTGTGAAGATATGTTATCTCCTTAACCAACTTGCTTCCCAAATATTTCAATGAATTTTTATTCTATTTTATTAATAGATTTGTTTTTATGATTTTATTTTATGTTAGGTTAGTATTAGATATAATGTTATTATTGATTTGCATGTATTTGCTTTGTATTCTGCAACTTTACTAAATTTATTTGTTGATTCTAGTTTCCACAGTTTTCTGTGGAATCTTTGGTGTTTTTCCTAGTAGGATCATATCATCTGACAGTAATGAAAACTTTTATTTCTTTTCTAATTTTAAGTTTTTCATTTCTTTTTCTTATCAGACTTTCTTAATAGTGATGCAGTACGAAGTTGAAAAGTTCATTATAATGATTTTTATTTCTGAAAAGTCTGTTATATTTTATTTAAAGTTTTATTTCATTGATCTGAATGTTTTCTTTTGATAGTTAAACTACCTCAGAATTTGTTGGTTTTATTAAGATTTTAAAATCAGTTTTATTTTTACTAATATGTATAGTTTTATTGATTTCATGTTTTCTCTGATTAATTTCTGTTCAAATTTTTATTATACCTTTCTATTAATGTTGGATTTACTTTGCTTTGTTTTTCTAGTTCCCTAAAATAAATCAATAGATTGTTTGGGATCCTTCTTATTTGGGATGTACATGTTTATTCCTATAGACATCTCCCTCATTACTGCTCTGGCTCTGTCTCATAGATATTGTATGTTGTGTTAAGTTTTTGGTTTGTTTCTAGATAATCTTCAATTTTTCTTCTTTGATTCATTAGCTGTTCAAGCAAATGTTGCTAAATTTCTAAAGATTAGTGAATTCACAAGAATTCTACTCTTATTTAGATATCTACTTAAAATGCTATCAGATATGATTTGAGTCTTTTTAATTTCATTACAGCTTGTTTGGGGTATAATATGATTCACCTTAGAAAATTTCCATGAGCAATGAAGAAAACATGCTTTTTTTGCTATAGTGTCAAAGTTTCTTATATATCTGTTATTTCCATTTGATCACTGATGTAACTCAATCCAGTTTTTCCTTGTTAACTTTGTTGATCACATTTTCAAAATGACAGTATGTCTTTTTACCAATTGATGTTTGATTCATGTATTTAGGTGCACCAATTTTTAGTGAACATGAAATTAAATTTGTTTCATCCTCTTGATAAACTAGCTCTGAATATTAGCAAGGATGTTCTTTATCTCTCAGAATGCAATTTGAATTGTATTTTAAAAGATTTACATACTTTTTATCTGGTGTTTTGTTTACCAAGTGCATGGCATACCTTTTTCCACTCCACTTTCTTATTATTTGTGTTCTTAAATATTAAGTGTGTCTAGTATAAGATTTTGTAACTTTCATCTAGTCTCGACTATATGTTTGAAGATCTTAATCCACTTACATTTAATATTATTGATATTGCTAACAATCAATTAATATTATTTATTGTTGAAGATTTATAAATTCCATGTTGCTTTCTGGTTGTTTTGTGTCTGCCTTTGTTAGTTCTGCCTTGCTAGATGTCCAGTGAAGCAATAGTTTTCTGTGTCACTAAGTATTGATTCCTTTCTCATTTGTTTGTGTGTTGTAGACCTTTTCTTTGTGGTGATGATGAGCCATATGAAAAATATTCTACAGGTATAATCTATAAGCTGATAATAACTTAAATTCTGTCACACACAACAACTGAAATTTTATTCTCCTTGTACATTTATGTTTTTAATTCCATAATTTAATATTTTTCTATTGTTTATTGCTTAACAACTTATTGCACTATTAGTTAATTTTCCCTTTGAGTTTTTACCTTTATACTAGAGATCTATGTGATGTACACACCATTACACAATTGAGCTATTCTGAATTTCACTATTTTTCCATAA